TAAAATAGGGTATCTTGAGTTTAAAGCTGAAACTTTGTGATTTTTCATGTTTCTGGTAGATGAAATTTTGTGTGAATTTTCAGAGCTTAATTCGTAGGGTAGCTTGACCTTCTATTTTCATGCGATTAAATGATTTCAATTTTCGAGCATAATTGTATATGAAAAATTTGGATCGACTTGCTTTTTAGTTTTTATGTGAGTTTGACTTGGTAAAACCTTAGATGGATTTGTGTGAGCTCCCTTATGTGGTTTGGTCGAGTTTAGAGCCGAGTCTTAGTGTTCCAACATCCACAGGACTTCACGAACTACTTAGTCGAAACGTGTTCGACTAGGTCTGTCTTGTGATTTCCAATTTAAGTCGAGATAGATTCTGATTGTAGAATCTTGACATCATGTAGGTGTCTAGAGGTGTTGATCTTGCCTTATTTCGAGATTTGTGACTGTGAACCGTGCTGCTATCAGGTGGGTACATTTATGATGTATTCCATAATTATCGCACTTCCTTATTTCGTGTAATAATTCTTTGAAAAGTTTTGTATGCATGAGAACTCTAGTCTAAGTGTCTCGAACGATAGTGCCTTTGATGAATGCGAAAGCAGTGGAAGTCGCCTGCCCGTCGTATCCGGGAGGTGGACGCCCGAATCCGTGTAGAGCGGAGGGGATTGTCTGAATACTCGAATCCGTGTAGAGCGGAGGGGTGATTCAACTTCACTATCTCCTGGAAAGGATCCCATGGACCGTCGTATCCGGGGGTGGGAAGGTTTCCAGTTACAGCCATGCCGTCGTATCCGGAAGGTTGTTGTATGTACATAGGAGGTTTGCGATAGGGCCGGGTAGGGGGTTTAGGCTTTGAATTTTATGCATACGGATATTGATATTGGTTTATTATGAAACTGCTTTCTAAATAATTATACGAGATAACTGTGCGATAATGGTGAGCTAGTTGGTTGCTCACCCCCATTATTTTCTTGTTGTCTTCTCTCTTCCTTCGTTTTAGGTTGAGACGAGCTGGAGGCGGTGGCGTAGGACAAGCGAGATGGTGGTCATTATGTGTTGAAAACCTATGCTTCCGTATAAACTTGATATTTATTTATTTGCTATTGCACTTTGGATTAATTGTTTCGTCATTTTTCGAACTATGTTGAGTTTCATTTGAACCTTGCTTTCATGCTAGTCGTTTGGGAATGGTTTTGAAATTATGATTATTGAGATTTTCCTTTTGATAGCTCGAGCATGTGTAGGTTCATTGAATTGATTTGATTGGATGTGTTTGTTTGCTGTTGTTAATGAGTAGCGCCCATTTCTCGATAAATGTTTTAACTTGGATTTAAAAAAAAAAAAAACTCTGATTTTCATTAATTAATTAAATAAATTCTTTAAAATAAAACGGGGTGTTACAATAACTCAGTACTTAGCATATAAATTCCCCGAAATAACATATCTCGGGAAAATATGAAAATACCGATTTCACTTTATAGTCGAGCAAGTGAAACCTGTTCTAATATTATAACTGATCAGGGCGTTATATGAATGGCTACAGGTTTAAAGATTGGTGGGCCTCAATTTGTTCTATAACGCACTCTGCAGTGGGTGAGGCAAGAATAGAGTTCACCACATATATATTGTGGTGGCTCTGGAAATCGCGTAACCAAAGGTCTTTGAACGAGTATGAAGAATCGCGTAACCTTTGGAAATCGCGTAAGCTTTGGGCCTGACAGAGGCATACTATCAGGAGCTTGGGAAGAATGGCAAGAAACAGTTAAACTTGGTACCAATCAAGCTTACCAGGGACAAGGAAGCCTAGCTAGGTCTGTTTAGACAGTTTAGTAACTAATTTTTCTTTTCTCTTTATTTTGGTGTTGAGTTGTATCTGTTCCTCTGTCTAGTAGGACACTGGAAGGCTCAGTATGTTATTTAACTGCCTTTGGTGTTGTTATTTTATCATTGTATTTAGCCTACTTTCATTAGTAGTGATCTTCGGCTTAGCCTTCGGCATTAGCTTGTTGCTCTATCTGTACTTGAACATTTGGTTTGATTATATGAGATTTCCCTATCGTCTTGAAAAAAAAAGGAACCAAAATATCTCATAGTGAAGTAAATGACATATGTAACACGTCGGCTAAAACCAATAAGAGGAAAGTTCCTTCAATAAATGAATCATACATTATTCTTGCATCTATTTTTAAATTTTAGCGTTTAGTAAAATTCAAGGACGGATACACAACGAACTCATGGGTTCTTTGGGAGTGGATCAAAGTATCAGATCTACGAGTTATACTTAGTAGCTAAGCTGATAAAAAAAGCCTTTTGAAGGCCATGGGGATTAGAAGCCATATAAATGTTAGGGTTGATTCGTCCAATTTGTGTTGTCCTATGATTTTTAGAAAAAATGGTACTTCCGAATATTTTTCTTCGAGAAACTTATTTGAGGCAAGGGTAAATTAAGTGATGTTCCATGAGCTTGAGTACTTCGAGGGAGTATGATGACAATTGTTGAAGGACGTTGAGGTTAATGTATCAGTGGAATTATGATTGCAATCATAGTGACTATTACCTTTTGGGAAAATGTGGAAAATACTGATTGGAAGCTAGGATTTGGTTCCAGCGGGTTGCACTGAGTTCACCCGAACAGGATGGTGCAACAGAATGAAAGAAAATGTCTCTTAAGTATATTGGTTGAGTCAATGATAAGTTAATAGGAATTTCACTTTTTATTTTGGAGTTATGCAAATAGCAAGATAAGTTCTTAATATAGTGTCAGTGGTCATTACTTCGAATAAACTGTGGACAAGGCGTAGGCCCAATTAAGTAAGTAAATGAGGCCAAAGTAATAGTTTTTGTCTTTTCATTTTTAATAATTTTTTATGGAAATTATGCATTTTAAGAGGAGCTACTTCATCGCAAGTAATTAGGTGCGCCTTGGCACACCTTGCTAGGTGTGTCAAAGCCTTTGTGAAATACAATCTCTCAAAAAAGCGTGTGTGAGGTAAGGTTTTTTTTTTTTTTTTTTTTTTTTTTTAAATGGGACATGTGTCCCATTTTTATTGGATTATGAATATGAATTATATATATATAAATTAAATTATCATTCATATTTTATAAGAAAAAATAAAAATAAAAATACCAAAATTCATAATTTTTCATTGTTTATAATTTATCACTTTTCACAAAAATACCAAAAATATTTTAGAACACAACTAATTTATCACTTTTCACAATTAATTTATCTTATTGGAAGATGAAAACGCAAATCTATAATAAAATGAACATGTTACATAGTAAGACGAACATGTTATAGAATAAGATGAACATGTTACATATTTACACAATAATATGAACATGTTATAAAATAAGATGAACATGTTACATATTTACACAATAAGATGAACATGTTATAAAATAAGATGAATATGTTACAAAATGAAATGAACATGTTATAAAATAAGATGAACATGTTATAAAATAAGATGAATATGTTACAAAATGAAATGAACATATTATAAAATAAGATGAACATGTTACATATTTACACAATAAGATGAATATGTTATAAAATAAGATGAATATGTTACAAAATGAAATGAACATGTTATAAAATAAGATGAATATGTTACAAAATGAAATGAACATGTTATAAAATAAGATGAACATGTTACATATTTACACAATAAGATGAACATGTTATAAAATAAGATGAATATGTTACAAAATAAAATGAACATGCTATAAAATAAGATGAACATGCGTTATTTCATTCTGTAATACATAACGTGTTCATCTTATTGGATAACATGTTCATTTTATTATGTAACATGTTCATCCTATGTGTGGTCTCTATTTATAGAGAATGAAAAATTATGAATTTTATTTTTTTTATTTTTTTATTTTAATATAAATCATTAATTATATTTTAATTTATCTAATATATCTTATTTTCAATTAAAAAAAAAAGTGGCGTGTACAATCTCTTATTTTTCTGGCTAGGTATGCCAGTGCCAGGGCACACGAAAGTGGTACTGGCTACTTCATGTTTAGTTGATGGTTTTCGCCCAATCAGCTTACCTCATACTTTTTCTGCTCTGAAATTTTATAGCTCTGTTTCCCGTTGGAAATTCCGATCGGCTCTTTACATCCTTTGTTTTTTGAAGCTTCTATTATGGGCAAAAAAGGTAAATTGTAGAAATCTGCAGATGTTGGCAAATTTAGGAACAAAACCTGACAAAGCGCAGATCATTATTTACTGCATTATTCATGTCGAAAACTTGAAAATTCTTTGATGTTTTCACTTTTTGAATTATATAAATATATAAATTAGAATTTGATCCGCGGCGATTCTGTTCCACATGAATTAATCTCCTCCCCGCAATTTCTGCTCATAATGGTGCTTAATCAATGCTAATTAATGGCGGGTAACAATTACAATAACGATGTATATATATATTTGTGCCTTGTTATGTCATTTGGGGTGCTGTAAGTTCATGGGGATGGACAATGGTCTCCCCCTCCACGTGGTCTCTAATGTCTGTGTTCTCTCACATCCCTATAATTGGTGAGATTTTCTTTTATTTTTTTATTGGCAAAAATGCATGGCAAATTTGATCATGGTTTGTGTTGTTGTTTTTACTGAAGTCACATTTGTTCAAAAGTTGTCCTGTAGTTTTCTTCTTGATCTCAAAATTAGTGAAGCTCACTGTTTCTGCTTGCTTGACCATTGATCATTATATATATTTGGTTCATTTTTTTGTGTGTGCGTGTAGAGAAGAGTTGTGTGTGTGCGTGTAGAGAGAGAGAGAGAGAGAGAGAGTTTTCTTTGATGGAACGGAATTGACAAAAGGGACCATTGAATGTGAGTTTTACTTCCATTTGAGTGTGTATGTTGTGTGTATTGCATATGGAGCAAAACTCACCCAACCAACAATGGTATTCCCGTGACTGGAACAAAAGGTTGGGGGACCAAACCAATTTAAGGAGGAAACAGGAAAAAAAAGAATATTATTAATAAAAAAGAAAGTGAAAGAAAGCAGGGGATTCTTATCCTACACCCACCCCTTTACCTTATTAGTTAATAGTTATACTACTTTACTGTTCTCATACCCTTCCCCATTTCTTAGGGGAGGTCCTAAATTCACTGCCTTTTTTCTGATAGTCTTGATAAAATGCAGTCCCAGTTTGCTTTTCTTCTCCATCTACTAGTATGATCTCTATTACTCTTTGTTTTTGTTCATGTTTTTTGATCTTTTTCCGCTATTGCATTGATGTGCGATCTGTCCAACTTTGGAGCTGAGTTGGATGTGTGATGATGAATTCCGAAGACTAATTTGCATTTGTTGGCCGTAATTATGGAATTTCAATCTCTTTGAGATCTGTGTGCCTGTAAAGATGTATCTTTCTCTTGAGTATCTTTTCCTTTTTCTTCATGCCTTGGGTTCTTTTTCTTTTCGCTTTTTCCTGTGTCTTCCCACTTATATTATCTCAAGTTTTTCCTTTTTTCTGCTGCAAATTCTTTTGGCAGATTTTTCGAGACGAACCCATCCAAAGGATCCACTTTTTGTATATTGTGATTAGTCAATAGACCATCAATGTGGTCTGATCTACACGGTTTGAATGGATGTCTGTAAACCTGAGCAAGCATTACTACAGAAGCAATCTACGGCACAGCTAACCAAAAGGCAGCCATTACTCCCAGCCGAGAACAAGAACAAGAATGGAGCTGCTTTTCGGTCACAAGCCCGTGAAGTTAGCTCAAGGTACAGATCACCTACACCATCCACAGCCAAACGCAACCCTCCCCCAAACACCACCCCATCATCTTCACTCTCATCCTTGTTTGCTCCGAAAAGGGCCACATCAGCCGAGAAAAAACGGCCCTCCCGACCATCATCCCCATCGACACCTATCCAGGATACATCTTCCGAAATGATCTCAAGAAAACTGGTTTGCAGCAACAAGTTACCCGAGTCTTTATGGCCTACCACTATGCGTAGCCTCAGCGTCTCTTTTCAATCCGACACTTACTCTATTCCTGTTAGCAAACGAGAAAAGCCAGTTTCGCATCAAAATGTTGCTCACAGACAACAACAGGCTGAGAATTTGGGCTCGAGGAAGCCCACGCCAGAACGGAAGAGGAGCCCACTTAAGGGGAAGAATTTCCCCGACCAAGCAGAAAATTCTAAACCCATCGAGAGTTCATCACATTCTCGTCTAGTCGAACAACACCGATGGCCGAGCAGAATTAACGGCGCTTTGAATAGAAGCATCGATTTGGGTGATAAGAACGGCGCAAGTCCTAGGCTATCACGCTCAGGAAGTGGCACCTCTTTCCTGAGGAGGTTATCTCTTGAGAGTGGGGCAACTAAGCCTCCACACAAATCCACGAGTGATTTGCTGATGCAATTGGCTTCGAGTGGATGTTCAGTGGATGAAAGTTTACTTCAGGCGCAAAAGCCGGGACCTTCAAGTTCATCTGATAGGATGCAGTTGGTGAAAGCTGCATCTCGGGCCTTGAGTAGCCCATCTAGAGGTTCGCGGGCTTCTTCACCATCTCGAGGGAAGCCTTTTAACAGCCCTTCCTCTAGAGGGTCAAGTCCTTCCAGACAACCTCAAGGACCTTTGGCTTCTGTTCTTTCTTTCATAGCGGATATTAAGAATGGAAAGAAGGCGGCAAACTACATAGAGGATGTGCATCAGCTGCGGATGTTGTACAACAGACACTTGCAATGGCGGTATGCGAATGCCCGTACTTGTGCTGCCTTGCAGTGTCAGAAAATGAAAGCGGAGGTTTGTGCGTGTATAATTTTAGCTTGCTCATGTTTGAAGTGTTCGATTTGTATCTGTGGTGACCTCTTGTTTTGGATAATATGTATTTCATTGTTCTTATTTTTTTTTGGATAATTTGTATTTCATCTGATAGGATGCAGTTGGTGAACTATAGCATATTATACTTCTCAATTCCATTTTGGAAATGAGTTTTAATTATAATTGCTTTTCTTCTTTCTCATACGTTCTTTTAAGTTCAATTCATTCACACTTTTGTAAATCACCACGTCGATTATGATGGTGCAGAATATGTTGTACAGCGTGTGGATTATAATTGCAGATCTTTGGGACTCTATAATGGAGAAAAGGATGGAACTCCAGGAGCTTAGGCTCAAGTTGAAGCTTGACTCAGTTTTGAACAATCAAGTAATGCCTCTCTTCGTCCTTTCATATTGTAGATGTGTAGTTTTCGACAATCCGCAAGTTTTCTAATTCATGAATATATGCTCAGGTAACTTCTCTTGACGAGTGGGCTTTAATCGAAAGGGATCATGTTAACTCGTTAACATGGGCCATCCAAGATCTGCAGGCAAGCACGATTCGTATTCCAGTCATCGGAGGAGCGAGGGTACGAAACTTGACTAGCTATTGGTTGAAAACTTTATTTTAATGAAATAACTAAAGCAAAATTCTGTTTTTTATTATTATTATTTTTTTTTTTCAGGGAGATGTTGAAACCGTTAAAGCGGCAATATGCGCTGCTGTTGATGTTATGCAGGCAATGGGATCCTCTTTGTTTTCCATACTTTCAAGGGTGAGATATCATCTGTTTCAGTATTTATAGTCTTCCCATGTAAGACTAGTTGATAATTCTATCAAATTGTACACCTTTCTCGATGACTAATCATGATATTCTATGATTATGCATTCTTTGACCTAAAAACACTGATTGACTAGTTGAATTTGAAGTTACTAAATATGTGGGGATTGTGTAATGAGATAAAACTTAAGAGGAACTTAGTTACTTTCTAGTGATGGCACAGCTCTTACTTGAGCATTGTCCGCTTACCTGTAAATATTCTGGATTTGGTGAGCTTCAGAATTGACTGTTATCTCTCATCTTAAATGAAAGTACTTAAACCTGAATAGATACGTATGCTCTATGTAACACAAGCTCGGTGACAGTGGAGCACATGCCTAATTCCATGTGAATGTGCTGGTTCATGTATATTTCTCTGAGTATCCTCTTTGATCTTTACTTTTAAAATTATATTCACAAGGACATGGATCACTGTTGACATGGTCCCAATTTCCAACATATATCCAGTAAATGTCACATAGCTTAGTGGTCAAGGGAACTTTCTTTAACTAATGATAGTTTCTCAGTAGGTTGTATGATTATGTACACATATATAATATTATGCTCATGTTTATGTATATTATTGAGAATTATGTCATAAAAGAAGGATGCATTGTACAGTCAATGCTATGTTTATGTCTGGGAGTGCTCAATTACTTTATCCCATATATCCACATCTATCTTAATGTTCCAACTAATGTCTGAAACACCCTGGCATTATTTATTTATCGTACAATATTGCCAAAATATTAAATTTGCCAAAGGAAATTTGTAAGCAATTTGTGAGCAAACCCGGTGGCCTCGAAAAAAAGAACAGTTGTAGTACCTTCTGGGATTTTTATAATTTTTTCATGTTTTCCAATTTTCTGGCGAAGTAGACCTGATTTAGGTGCCTTGTAGCATTACTTGCACTTATCATGTCTCAATGGACTTGATTATTGAATAGTTAATAAACTATTACACTGTTGTTCAATTGTACTTGGGTGGGTTAATGTAAGAATAAAAACGGGTTTAAAGGTTTTTTTATTGAATGATGCAGGTGGAGGGGATGAACAGCTTGGTGTCTGAACTTGCTAATGTAGTGGCACATGAGAGAGCTGTGCTCGATGAATGTGAATCAGTTTTGGGCTCGACAGCTGCAATGCAGGTAAAGGAAATCCAAATTTATTGCAAGATCAAGTTCAACTTCT